TAACAGCCCTGCTACTGTACACACACACACACACACACACACACACACACACACACACACACACACACACACGACTGTAATGGAAAACAAAGACTTCTATAGGCACTGACCTGGCTGCCCTGTTCTTTTTATTCATTGTGAATCCAGATGAGTATGGCAGTTTTATGCCCAATGTGCCAACCAAGGGTTCTGCTGCTGAGCTTTTCCTTTTTCTTTTCAAGTCCCACTAAAAACGAAGTGTCTGCGAGGCAATTGCAATGCTGTTTGGCTGTTGTCTGTATTTCACTCTGTGGGTCACTGCTACAAAGAGGCTCAGTTTTAACGTTCATCTATGCATCTCTGTTGCTGCCATTTGAACTCTGCAGTCATTTTTTTTCAGTTTTCTGTTTGAGACTCTGCAAAGTACTGGGTCACTCACTGCAAAGGAATTCACAATGCCATTAATGGAGTACTGTATTTTAATACTCCAGGGCGTTCATGAACTTTTCCTTATTCCGACACCAAAAAGAGAAAAGTATTCTTCCTCCTTTAGAGCCAAGCTAATCAAAAGAGAATGAGAGAACTGTAGTAAGATAACAACTGAATCTATATACTGTTAGTTATCTTCAATAAACTGGATTAACATATGCAGGGCTCCAGACTAACTTTTTGCATTGGTTGCACTGGTGCGCCTAACGTTTTTTTTTTTTTTTTTTTTAGGTGCACCAGCACAAAATGTAGGTGCACCCAAATTTTTCATTGCGTCGCCTTTAACGTCATAAGGTCACCTTTTTATCGCTCTCCATAACTTTTACATAATGTGAATGATTTTTAAACAAGAATAAGGTGTAAAGAAATGCTTGTCTTTATTTGAAGCACAATTATATATAAAAAGAAAAATAAAGTGTTTAAAGTGCTTCACTGAACTGAAATTGAACATTTCAAACTAAAACACTAAGCAAAATAAAACATTTCCAATTAAAAGAGGACCTGATTACTACTACCTGCCGCTGAAATGCAGCTGGGAGAGGGGCCACTTTCTCTACACACTTGTCACGGCATATCGTGTGTTTTTTTAAAGTTGGGTCTCGGAGCCGGAGTCTATTCCAGACTCGGTTGTCTCCTCCTCTGGTTCCGAGTCTGATGCTGTCGCCAAAGGACCGGGGCTCGGCAATTTTTAAACACACGCAATTTAGCGCGGTGAACAGGACCACAGCCAATCAGAGGCAAAGACCCGCCCTAGCTCTGTCTCTTATTGGTTTAGAACACAATATGATCCTACCATGAGTGTGTGAGTTCGGTCACAGGAGAACACAGAGAGACGATGCGCTTGCAAAATAAATTCACGTTTTCACCTGGGCAGCGTCAGGTGCACCAGTGCGACCTAGAAAAATTATTAGTCGCACTCATAAAAATTTTGGTCGCATGTTGCACTCTGGAGCCCTGATATGAAAACAAATACAAAGAACTTAGCCTCAACCTGCTGGTTCATCATATCACATACATTATACATATTAACTTATGATCTCATTTCATAATGTGAAAACCCAGAATAAAGCTATGCATTTATGGTCTGCTACTGAGCAGATGGAACATCCCAAAGGAATATCCCAACAGAATAAATAATAATGAACAAATACTTAAGCAGCCTACAGTTATTACTACATTGACACTGTATTACAATACTGTTATTACTGCTATCATATAGCCTATATTACACAAGTGGCTATAAAACAATTAGGCAAAATTCATCAGTGATTCTAAGATTACTTACCCTTTTTCATTTTTAGTGTTAGGTTGTAAGACAGTCAAACTAGTCTAATCTACTGCTAGACCAGACGTCTATAATGATCTGAGATATAATAATAATAATAATAATAATAAAGGGGTAATTAGACTTAATAACCCCAGCGGAAGTGTAACTGCACTGTCCCGTCTGTGGCGCTAATTCATTGAGGGTAAAAATATACAATACTACATACATACAGTAATATTATTATAACCGCACAAAGTATAGTAAGACCATGCCACGTGCAGTGGTCATGTAAAGTGTGTGGAAAGTGCAGAGCGAATTAAAAGTGTTGACAGCTTTATCAGGTGGAGAGTACTCAAACTGCATGCTTGACATCTTCACATCACTTGTGTTATCCAACCAACAGTCCTTTCCCAAAAATAATCAGTTCACTGTCATTCAGGACAAGGAAAAGCAGTACATCCTCCATTTGTACAACTAGAACCATAAAACAACCATGAGAACATAAAAATACAGTTACTATAACTCCTAATCAATTCATTGATAGCATCCTCTTTTATATGTATATGTATAGCTATTTTAAAACAGTGTGTTGACCTAACTGTGTATAAAAAAGATTTGTGTTTTTTGAAAAGCGCTCTATAAATTAAATATATTATTATTATTATTATTATTATTATTATTATTATAACCAATGAATGAAATTTTGTCTTAAAAGGCTACCAAACAGTGTAATGATGAGCATTGCTGATTGAAAGATTTTAGACATTTGGTGGTTAATGGGTGGTAATGCTCATACTGACTGTCTTGTTACGGAATTCTTTTTCTACTATGAATGAAGCTAGGAACCAATAACCCTTAGTAACACATTGCTAACCCAGTGTACTCCTGCACTACTAGCCTATCTGACCACAGATACTTGACAAAGGCCTGACAGCTTGGCTTGACACACTTCTTCTAATCTAATCTCCAATCCTTCTCCACTGTATTCACTCAGCTAGTTAAGCCCCTTGCTAATGAGACTGTGTCCCATTGTATGGAATTAAACCAGAACACTACTCACTGCCTAAATCACATCACACACAAGGAACAATTCTACAAGGGAATTAGGAAGCTGGGAACATGTTTATTGTGCGATACAAACAAGCACATGCAATTACACATGTGAGAATTGTTTAGCTACGACAGTGTAATCGATTCATGAAATGATATCACCTCACTGCTCCTGCCAAAGACAACTTGATCTAAACATGAGTGAAATGCAGAATAAAAGAAAGCTATGAAGCTGTGAAATCTTTCATTTAGCACATCGTATAGAAAGTACCATGAGCTGTCAGTGACAAACAAGAAGGACCTGTGACTAGGGGTGGGCAATATGGTCAAAAAATAATATCTCGTTATTTTTGGGGAATTTGGCGATAACGATAATCAGTCGATATCCTTTAAAATGGGCTTGTGAGTTAGGGCTTGTGTCCACCAAACGCGTTTTTAGCGCTGAGAGTGCTCAAAAACTAATTTTCCGATTTTAACTTGAAGCGCTCTGAGCGCTGCGCTAAAAAAGTCTTTTCGAAACTAAACCATTTCCATCTCGGCACTAAATCACGCGCTGCTAAACTGTTGCAAGGAGGATGCTAGCGAGAGGTCATGTGATCACGTCATGTGATCAGGTAGGCCCACTAGTCGTGTGACTGAATCCTGTCATGCTGTAGAGAGTGTTGCTGCACCGTGTATTAAGTGGATGTGAGGAGTTTCCGCGTGCGTTTCCATATTTTTGGCGAAGTAATTTAAATACTCGATAATGGAAATTTGCGTCAAAACAACAATGACGATATTATCGCAAACGATATATATCGCCCACCTCTACCTGTGACATGTATGCATAACTACCATAGAGGACTCTCAAATTAAAATCATACACAAAGAATAGCCCTAACAGAGATCTATGACCATTAGATATTAATACTTGCTGCAAAATGTTATATCTGATGACTTTCTACCCTAATGAAATTGGACATACAGTATGTATTACACAGAAATCACACAAAATAATCCAATCAGAACCGTGCTGGGGTTTGGTCAGTTATCTGCATAGGGAGATTCTGTGAACAAAAGAAAGCGGGGAACAGGCACACTGTACAGTGAGACAGTACTGTGTATCTGCCAGCCAAGGGCTTGTCAGGGCAAATATTTCATTGTTTGCTGGTTTTGGCATGTTAACCCATTATTAAAATAGCTATTTTTTCTTTGCTTCTTTTTTAAAGGAGGAAAATTCAGACCAATATATTGCCAAGAATTTCATCCACCCCTGCCTGCCTACTGACTGTAAGAAGAATGCAATCATTACACCTCAAGCAGGAAATGTTTGTTCCTGAAAGCTCCAGAAGTGACAACATGGAGTTGTCTTTAAATTGTAGACAATTTTTTACATGAAGACAAACTGCCCATTGTTCAGCCTGCAGCGAGCCAGTTTTATGTTTTTACAAGTCCTAGCATTCCTGCGCCCCTGTACAAGTCGGAGGGGTCGTTGTCCGCCAGAAAAAACACAGGCAGACGAGGCTTTCTGGTCGCCCATCACGCTCAAATAACGTAGATTGTGACCAATAACCACGAGGTAATAGGGATTAGCTAATATAAAGACCGGAACACGGGGTGAATCTAGAAAGCTAGCCGTACCTCCATCAGCTGATTTGCAGTATACAGCAGCTTAAAGCATTTAGCTGCTCGAGACTCAAATTCCTACACATGCTTTTACAAATGCAGCTGCTCTCAGAGGACAACACGTTTAAATCCCAGCTGTTTCTCCCTGACAAACTGATGATTTTGAAAGCGTTACATTACTCGTGTACATATAGATTCCACTGTGGTTTCATCATTGTTAGCTAAATATGAAAACATGGAGTTGCGTTTCAGCCAGTAAAGAAGTGAGAGAAGTTTGAAGATGTTGCTGTAAATAAGCATAGTGCTGTCTGGACTAGCTGTTTGCTTTTCATAAACCCCCGCTGGTTGTCTGCCTCCCATTAACTTGTTTGCTAAGTGGTCAGATAACTAGTGAAACTCCTCACGCAACAATGGCAGATATTTTGGTGAAACAATGCTGAATACAAGTGGTGCACTCATTGGTTTAAAGAGCCACAAAAAAGCCACAACATAATTTCCGCCTGGCAAGCCTGCAACCTGCCCCGCTGGCTAGCCATCAACCACTGAGATTTTACCATTTGCTTTGCATGTAACAGACCAAACAGGAGGACAAAGTCAGCGTTTTCCTTACCGTCAGGTCGGGATTGTCGCTGTCACGGTGGTTAACGGCTCGTATGACCCCGGACCTCCATGGCCACCGACCGATGTCGCCAATTTCAGGCGGCTCGTCCCCGCTGACACAGAGGAACCGCTTCCCTACCAGCTCCGGCCGAGCCTCGACTGCCATGGCCCTTCGCTGGTCAAAACCCCCCCTCGAAAAAACTTCCCAACAACGACGCCCTTACAGACCTGTTATTTACGACATTAAACCAGCTCTAAAGAATCCAACAATAGAAAGAAAATGAAAAAGGAAAAGTTATTTGTTGCTAAACGCTGAAAAACCGACCCGGGGGATTTAAATGTGTAGCAGTCTCCACCCGCTCGAGCGCCAGTCTCTTTTCTCTCCGCGTGAAAAAACGGTGGAACACTGAACCGCATCACCGCTGCCATCCATACGTGTGTTTCTCCGCTGGATCCAAAGGCATCCACAGACTGCAACACGGTTGTGTCCCTCCGCTCAATTGAACCCCACCGGTTCTATTTTCGCAAAACTACTCTTCCAACTGCTTGTACTTAGAGCTGCCACGACTGGTGTAAACAGCAACTATAGACAACTTCTGCTTCCATTATCACTTTAATAGCATTACTATTATTGTTCGCTCTAGTATTAAACTGTTAAACAACAACAGCAGCATTCATGTAGCATTATGTACAAACATACAAAAGACATATTTAAAAATTAAATGGAATCATTAAGAAAGGAAAATAAAATATATACATAAACAGTACATACAAGAAATATAAATAATAAAAAATAACCTGACAAAATATGGTTTTAAAATTCTAATTCACTCTGTTGACCATGTACACTTTCCAGGTCTATGTGTTGAAGATAATTAATAAAAGGATCCCATACTTTTTTTTAAAACAATAGTATAATAGAATATGTCATCCTTATTGACATATTCTATTATACTATTTTTTACATGTAGACAGTTCCTGCAGTCATTCACTAATACTTGGACTATTCAAATTTTCCCATGATATCATCCTATCATCCATTTTGTCTGTAATAAACATAGATCTAGGAAGATTTTCTCTTTCTTCCTTTATTATGTGTTTTTGTATAACAACCTAAAAAGAAGAGCGTTGGCTCCATAGTTAACTGTAATTGGGATCCTATAACATTCCCAAACACAGTGAACAAAAGAGTGGGATATTACTATTAAATTAGTGTAATTCTCTGGAGTGATATATATGCACATCAACCAAATAAAAAACCACAAATCACTTACACTGTATAGTACAATTCACTAACAGATTACTGAAACCCTAACTTCAATCCATAACACTGAATATCAAGTCTGCATTAATCATTGATAGTTATGCTATTGTTTGAGGGAAGCAAGTGCACACCTTGCAAATAAGTTTATACATTATTATATTCATCATTGAATTAAACAACTCAAGTAAGTGAGTAAGTCTGCTAACTGATTTTCATATCATATTAAAAATGAGTGGAAACCAATGGCTGGCGTGATCAGCAAAAAAATACATCAAAAATTAAAACTGTATATATAGTAGAGTGTAAATGTGTAGCATGCATTCAAGAATGGTCTGTAAAAATGTGAAGTATACACTATCTGTAGTCAAATAGTTAAGATTAGCAAACACACTGGTATGAAACATTAAAAATAAACATCAAGCCATCATCAAAGCACAATGGATGTAAAGTCATATGTATCTATCATTTCCTTTATTATAATCTGCTGTTTATTTTACGCCCCCTTAATCCTATTGTGTGTGAACATCTCGTTCAGAATCCAGCTGACATGCTTGCTCTCTTTCTTTCAGTGTGGATTTAAACGTCCCCCACTGAGGCCTCCTGTGCTATAAAGGAGCAGGACAGAGAGAGAATCTGTGGAGGAGAGAATAAGGCAGAGGAACTGAAGGAGAACAAGAGAGGAAAGGTTTGTGTGTGAATGTGGCTCCATGGAGAATTGTACCCTTGTGTGTGTGTGTGTGTGTGTGTGTGTGTGTGTGTGTGTGTGTGTGTGTGTGTGTGTGTGTGCAGAGTGTAGGGATCTTAAGGACAGTATAGAGGTTTGTGTGTGAAGCATGTAGAAAGCAGTCAGCCTGGAGCGACCTCCAGGGTGGGACACATGGGCGGGGGGGGGACAGAGACCAGATGATGGAGGAAGAGAAGCAGGAGAAAAAGTGTAGCAAAACAGTGAAAGAAAAGAGGAAAGATGCTGAAGAAACACAGTCACACTATGGACACAAATCAAAAGAGGAAAAGGCAAGAAAAAGATAAAAAGAGGAAGAAGGAAAAGAAACAAGATCAGAGGTACCATAGTGGTGGAATAAGAAAATTAAACAAAAAAAGAACAGTGTTAACCATGAAGAAGTGAGACTAACATATTTTTTCTTTTATTTACATATTATGTCATGTTTCTTGAACAGGTGTAGTAACTTAGTGTTTTAGTTAGCATTAGAGTTATTTCTTGAACAACAACCACTGGACAGCTGTATGGCTTTAGAATTGACAGAAAGCATACATGAGAGATCTAAGATAGCAGCCATCCCTTGCTTGCAGTTTTTGTATTAAACTAGGTTAAATCCCAGGCTTCGAAAACATGAAACTGATAATGTCTCTATCTTTTATGTTATTCTATTATTGTGTGTAGCATGGAGGAACTACAAACTTTCATTTTGTTATACAACCATGTTGTTTAATGATGGCTACATTTCCTTGATTACTTGATAGGTAAAATGGCAAAACAGTTGTTCCAGTGTTATAACTGTAATTAGAGGGCAAACCTGCTATCATAAGCCATTGTTTACTTACGCTAAGTTACATACGAAAATTAACAATGTAACCTTTTCCTAAACCTAACCAAGTAGTTTGGTGCCTAAACCTAACCAAACTTAACATTTCACAACATTAACAACGTGTCTATTATTGCTGTCATGACGATGAACGTGACTTGACAGTCCCTTCCTGCAAATCCAAAACTTGTTAAATGTGTCATCGGTAACAGCGTTAAATGACACACAAAATACTTAAAATGTACAGCTCAGTAATCAACACACCACAAAAACAGTCTGGTGTTTAAATTTGTAAGAATAGAGCATAATTCACTGTTAATTTGAAAAAAGTTGAAACTTCTTCTGAAAAGGACTCAGAAGCTACACACAGACTGCATCAATGTTTGTTGGCATTAAAGGATATATCATCAGAGTCATCTTAAAGGACCAGTGTGTAGGATTTCGTGGCATCTATCAGTGGAGATGCAAATTACAACCAACTGAATACTGCTTGTCTTCCAAGTGTGTAGGAGAAACTACGGTGGCTGATTTTGCAACCGTTTATATCATAATATAGTAATGTGAGCAGTGGAGCAGCCGCATGCTCGGTGTGGAGGTGTTTTCTGTTCAACTGTGATCCTCTGATGCCGCCCCAGACAGGCAGTGTGACCAGAGAGGCTCCACTGGGAATCTCCCTCATACTGCTGCACACTGCAGCAGCCGCTTTCATGAATAACAAGTAGCTATGAATCCAACACCCCCCCTCCCCCATATACACATACTGCCATTATATGTACACAAAACATGCTCATATCTGCATGTGGTCACACACATGCACATCTGCAAATACATAAAGGCACATGCTCATACAGTAGCTGCACACATACATGCTCACACACATGTTTATGTACTCAGATATAATTATCTACATACACAGATGGACATGCACACATAAAGAGAAAGGCATGCTGAAGCTCACAGATGTGGTTTGTGTCTGCCAAGTTCTATGTATGGAAAACTGTAATGAACATGATTAGGTCTGACTGTTGTGGTTTATGTAATGAGCTAGACAAAAGCAGTCCACTGCATTAGTACTTCAGGTATCCAATCGGTCCCGACTAGAGAAAATAAAATAATTTCTTTCTTTCTTTTGCAGTATTTGCTTATGAATGTAGAATACAGCAATCTAGATTAATGTTAACAATGCAGTGAGTATAGAAAACAAATCTGAATTCCATGTTTAGTACAACGTAAGTAAGAAATGCATCATAAATAGTTATGTGTTAATATGCAATTGTTTTAGGATTTTGGTTGTGGACTGAGAGAATTCATGAACCTGTGATTTATTGTACTGAATTCATTTCATTACCTTAGAATGAGCCATTTTAACTACAAAGGGAGCAGGTCCTCTTCCATGGAGGTAATCATGTTGAAGTCAGTTACTCACCCAGATGTTCAGTTGTTACCTTGTTATTCTTCTGTTGGTGTTATGGCAGGTGGCAACCTCTGTTAAATGGTTAATGGTAAATGGACCTGTACTTGTATAGTGCCTTTCTAGTCTTCCAACCACTCAAAGTGCTTTTACACTACATGCTACATTCACCCTTTCACATACATTCATTCAGTGATGGCAAAGCCCATTGAACAGAAGCTCATTCGCACAGCATTGGGAGCAATTTGTGGTTCAGTATCTTGCTCGAGGATACTTCAACATGTGGCGGGAGGAGCTGGGGATAAAACCAACAACCTTCCGATTGGTGGACGACCCGCTCTTCCTCTGAGCCACAGCAGCCGTTAAGGTGCATTATTGCCACCTACTTTGTTGGAGTGCAGACAATATCTGATATGTTACCTGATATATAAGGGTCATGGAAAGGGGCCCTTGATTTAAGTAAGTAAGTAAGTGTATTTAAATCTGAAAAATTATTTCATGAATGTAAGTATGTATGACATACATATGTATGTATATATGCAGCCTGTGCATGCAAATGTAACTGCCAGTAGGTCCTTCAAACTTGCTAAATTTTGTTTTAATCTGTATTTTTTGTCCAGCTTTATAACTGACAAAATTGAATAAGGTCTGATTGGATTTGATTTTAAAGGGCTATGTCAAAATTGTCCAAATCAACTGGTTTAGGAGATTTTTATACAGTAGCGGCTGTGCAGATGTGTTCACGTGTTTATATCGATGATGCTTGGTGCTCAAACGCAGTCAAAGTGGATGGACACGGTTTCTTTTTATGTGAAGCTGAAACCATGATATGATCACTATCTTGTTACTGCTGTTTACATTCCCCCAGAAGCAAATTCCAAAGATTCACTGCAGAATTGTGTCCTGGGTGTATACATGCATGTATGTATGAATATATGTATACTGTAACTAACAGAATATAGTTTTATTTTATATGATGTTATCTGAACCTAAAGGACCATTGTGTAGGATTTTGTGTCTAGGAGAAACTATGTTGGCTGCAAACTTTATCAAGAGAGAAGAAGATAAAAATCAAGGTCACGTTCCATTTCCGTTAAAGGAAAATGCTTCCCCAACAACAACGCTTGGAAAATCCACAGAACCTCTTCATTGCTTCTCTCAACCATTGGTTAGAATTCGCCTGGAATCGAAGACAGACCAATTGGGGCACAGATCGCTGAGTTTGAAATTCCACCGCTTCTACCAAACGCAACGGTCACATGTGCAAATGTGGCCAACCAATGACAGTTTGTGTATGCTGTAAACAGACTGAACTGGCCCATAGCAGGTTCAGGAGGTAGTTCTTTTCCTGTTGACGTCAGTAGCTAGCGAGCACCGTCCTGGTGCCAGGAACTGGGGAGTGAAGTAGACTGAGAAGGAGGAAACCTGGAGGCAATAATAGATTGCTACAAAACAACAGGAATCATATTGGATAGATATTTAATCGCTTAGCTATGTCCACAAAGACAGAGCAGTGAGAGCGGACGTTTTACAGATATGTTGTTTAGTCGATGTACAGCGAGATAGCGAGCTGCTGGATTCGCTCATCGAAGTTTAGGCTGAAAAAGTTACAGCGGCTCGGCTAGCCGTTAACGTTATCACCAGAGCTGCCTTCTACGTGTGACACAGCCCTACAGAACGAAGTCAGACAACATGGTGTCCTGGATCATTTCGAGAAGCGTTGTGTAAGTACAAAGACTACTAAGAGTAATGAAAGTGAACTAAAATGCTATTTTTACCTCACGGAAGGCAGCTGATGCGATTGAGCTTTGTTAGCTTGCTACGTGTTACGGTCCTTTGGCTAAGTTATGGCCCTAGTTCATTAAGAAAAAGAAAGTTTTTGATGTGAAACTTTGTCAACAAGAAACGACATAATTTAGTTAACCAAGTAGTTCCCAGACGCCTCAAACACACTTTATTGTTTCTTTTAGAGGATAAATAGTTCCCCCCCCCCTCAACTAGCTTGCCTTGTGTGCTATTGTGTCTCAAGCTAATGCTAACATGTTGTCTATGAATCATGGCCATGGACGCTGCTGGTGAGTCAACCTTTACAATATGGAACTTTTGTTAAGTAACGGTGAGGTGGAACTTTTCAAGCCTCGACATGTTCACCTGTCAAGGAGTGTCAGGTACAGCTGTCATCTTGAAGATATTTTTAGCCAGCCCTGCCCAGTTTAACCTGGCAACCATGACATTGTTAGCACACAGGAAGACAGCCCTCCTCAGATGCATTTGTGGCTCTGCATGACTTTGTTTGGTTTCTGGATACTTACTTAGTCATCCAATGTTATGCTCCTAAAATTCAATGTGATCAAAGAAGAAGTCAGAGATTTAGATTTAAAATGCTGGATGTGTTCGATTTGCCCATTTCTTACCGGATGAGGGTAAAAAATGCCCATCACGGGATGCATCTTTGTCATTCTCTTTGTATCTCCTTCTGCTGTCTTTTCCTGTCTGTATACATCCAGGAGCAGTAGTTACGTAACTTGGTGTGATGAAGGATAGGAATGTAGTGGAAAGGATAGAAGGGAGTGGTGGAAAAATACAAAATGCCTCTCCTTTTTCTCGATTGCAACTTAATCTAACAGGCCTTTTGTTGTGATCACATATCAGTAAAGTCAATATCTGGCTCAAAGTAAGCAGATGCTCATTTTAGGAATATTTCATGTCTGTGGGCCTTCATCTCGTAACCCAACCATAACTGTGTAAATACTGCTTCTTTGGCATTTTCCATAATGCAGTTGAACAGCAGAATGTACCACAAGGCATTTTGGAATCTAGGTCTACACTAGAGATGGGGGAAAAAATCAATAAAGATCGTCATGTTTGCTGCCCTTTTTTTGTTTGAAAACAATATTTTGGGGGCTTTTATTGCCTTTAATCAATAGAGCTGAGAATGACAGGAGGGGGCTAGAGAGGGGTAGAGAGGGGAAGGCATGAAGCAAGGGGCCGCAGGTCGGATGCGAACCCTGAACCGTATGGCGCCTGCTCTACCAGGTGAGCCGTCTGGGGGCACCATTTGCTGCCTTTTAAAGATGTAACTGACTTACAGTGTCATTACCAGTGAATCAGCAGAGACGGTGTGAATGAACGTAACCATGTTAATTCTACAACGTAGTTTAGAATTTGTCTACATAGGTTACATTTAGATAGATTCAAATGAACGATGTGTGAGCTCTCATTTCTTTAAAATGTATATTTAGGCCAACCTAAACATTATTATTATTTCCACATGGCCTAATACCTAAAAGATCTTCTTTTTGAATACAAAGTTGGGAAATTATTGGTTATCTTATCAGTATTGGCCAAAGCAGGTAATTATAGCTTGTTGTTTTTAACAAAAAAAAAAAAATATCCATATTTTGAATCCCTCTCTGGAAATATAGGGTTCTCTCTCTTAGTTTTGGTCTTGTATTTTTGGCAAGATTTCTATGCCCATGTTGGGAGTGTTCATTAATTTTCATGAGAGTGGCTTCTTGGGCAGTAGCTACTGCTACGGTGTAGAGTGTAAAGTGGGGTGCTTTAAGCCTGCAACTCATACATAATGTTGGAATTATGCAATGACAAGTTCAAAATTTTGAGAAAGACCCAAATTATTGTTTTCATGTGTTTACTGTATAAAGAAAAACAGACCCCCACCCCACTGAAAAAGTCACCCTTTCTACCCCTACACATCTCCTTTCCAACAACTTTTTTAAGTTGTAGTGCAATAGCTAAAATTAGCCACTTATTTTCAACTCAGCGCTCAGTGACAAACTCATCTTAGGTGGCTGGCTTCACGGACTGGTTCTTGAATATTTGTGTGCATCTCTTCCAGTCTCTTTTTTTCTTTGTTACACTGCCCCTTTTGATGTTGGTGAAGAAATTTGAGTTGTCTGCCTAAGAGTTGAACAGCCATGAAAAACACCAATATTGTTCCTAAGAACTATCACATCGCACAGCAGTGTTCTTATTCTGAAACATGTTGAAGCTCAAATAAAGAAGCACTACCATGAGCATCTGTACGGGTTGATACAGTAGCTCTGTTGCTCACAATGTTCAACTCTGGTATTATTGTAAGGATGCATTTATTGTAGGGCTGTGGTATTGGATTGAACTGAAGGTGCAGATGTGAGTGGAAAGATATATTGACTTTTTAAAGCACATTGGCTGTATTGTCTGAAGGTGGAATGTTGTGTACATGTGGCATCTGGCTGCTGCAGTCTTCTTGTACCTCTCAGCAGAGTGAAGAACAAGGCCTTCAGGATCAGTAAGGTGCATGGTGTGCTTCCATTGCCTGAGGCACAAAAAAAACTTGCCTTTTGAAAGACCTTAAAACACATTCTCAGTTGTTAACTATTAGTGATTAGTTAGAAAAGGTTTGGTTATTTCTAGAGATGCACTGATACCAGGGTCAGGTATTGGGGCTGATACTGTGCTCATGTACTCGTTATTATAACCATCTAAAATACTCCGATACGGCACTCGATACCACTGTACAGCATTACGTAACCTCTTGTTTGTTGAGCAGGTAGGCAGAGAATGTGATGCTACGTGATAGTTGGACACTCCCATGCAGTTAGGACACAGTTTGCTAATAGTTAAATCACAGTTTAGGTCTGTTCCAGTGTGGGTCAGTTGGTGTTGGCGAGTGATGTTGATATGTAAACATTCTAATTTGATGTCGTTGGGTCCAGTTGCTGCCAGTTGTTCTCATAAAGGACATATTTGGGGCTGACATTGGTGACATACTAGTGATACAATAGTGTAAAGTTAATTTTTCACTCACCTCCAAATCCCTCCACAGGCAATGAATCTACGTTGCTTGCATCTCTCCATTCAGGATCGCATGCAGACTCTGCAGGATGTTCCTCCTTTTTTCACCTGTTCAGTAGAAATTGCCCTGCATATAAAGTGCTAGGTGCTGGTTGTCATCTATGTTGATTTTGGTGCAAGTACCTGGAACAGTTGGAACAGTTTGCACAACTTTCCTATGCAGTTGGTTCTAGCAACATTTCAGATGGGCTCACTTTCAGTTGAATTTGTTTTCTATTTGTCTGCTACTCTGGTAGGTTTTGTTTCTTGCTCTGTTGGACTTTCAGATCAGATCTCGGCTGTTAACTTGATGAGTACAATGCTATTATAACTATGCTATCGTAAAATATATTAGATTAAAACCAGAATTATTGATTATAAATTTACTGTGTACCTTATGCAAGTTGCTCAGTTGTAATTGTCAATAAAAAAGTATAGGCGATCTGTATTCTACTTTGAACTTGTGTATGATGCGTAATCAGAGAGATGTGAGACCAGTCCAAATTATGTACGTCATTTATTTCCCCATGAGGAAATACTCTGGGGATGTACAGACCTGGACTCTAACCAGTTTCATTTGCTGTAGCAGCAGTTCTCTCAACAATCCTTCCTCTGTGTTTTTAGGGGAAAAGTCATGTAATCAAATTCTTATTCCTGAAGCTCAAACCAGATGGTGGAAGCTCAAATCTTGGAAATCTCTGGGGGTTTTCTTTCTCTCTCCACTGTTTCTCCTTTCTCTTCTCCCTCTTGCAGTGTCTCCTGTGTTTTATTGCTCTTGTTCTCTCTTTCTCTCTTCTCTCTCTCTTGTCGTCCTGTTCTCCCCCTCTCTCCATCTGGTTGTTCGTGGTGTACGGTGTCAGGAAACCAGGGAAATTGACCTGGAGCCCAGAGTTAAGGCCCAGCTACAAGCAACAGGGCTATTTTCTCAGCTGCATGCAGAGAGAGGGAGAGGGGATGAGGTGTTGAAATTGGAAGAAGGGGAATGAGGAAGGAGGGAAGGGAAACAGAGAGAGGGTAGTTTTGGTATAGAGAAGGGGCCCTGCTTTTCACTAAATTGTTTCAAGAACCATTTCAGTGCAAGTTTAACCTTTGTGTGTGCTTGGTTTATGGAGAAACTTGGTTAAAGTGTCCCTGGTTGTCTGCAGTTACTCTAAAAGACGTCAATGTGCATTTAAAAATATAAAGAAATCTCTGAGATACAGTAATAGGAAGGTCGGCTTAGCCAAAGCCGATACCTATTTGGCACCACCTGAATCAGGTAAGTATTACCAAGAAGGATCAGCTGATTGTTTTTTGCTTCATATATTATACCCTTGAATTGTAAAAAGACAGGTGCCGCTGTGGCAAGGTGATCCAGGGCACAGCTATTACCATGTGACGTACAAGTACTGTCTCATCAATGAAATTCAAACCAGTACGGTCTATGTTATTAGCATGCTTTAAATTGACAAATAAAATCCAGATCTGAAATCAAAACTACAGGTCAGGCCTCTCTCACCAACTATTGAACCCGATTGATGTAATTTGATTTAAAACTTGCACCTCTTCTTAAGCCCCTTTCACACTAGACAAAAAATCCCCACCCAACACACAACATCTGGCTTTTGTCTTCAGTTGGAGGGGGTACAATTGGCATTCACTTCCCAGGTCAAATGACTCTGCAGTAGTTACGGTTATTGGCAGTGATAGGAGAGCTTCTCCTGATTGGAGAGGTAGTGGATTATTTCCACTACCTCACCAATCAGGAGAAGCAAAAAGGTCACAGCACTATGGAGATGGAAAATCCAAAACTTGTCTAGCGGTAATGAGAAAGGAGTCAAATCACCTATTTTAGTGGGTTTACCTGTGTTATGGTGTCTATTATTAGAGTCATAACTTGCTTAAATATGAA